GCTGCCTGGTTGGTTGGTTAGCTGGTCAGTTAAACTAAGACCAGCCCGGCTGCCTGGTTGGTTGGTTAGCTGGTCAGTTAAACTAAGACCAGCCCGGCTGCCTGGTTGGTTGGTTAGCTGGTCAGTTAAACTAAGACCAGCCCGGCTGCCTGGTTGGTTGATGATAATAAAACACAAACACATTTAGGCTCCAAGCACAGAAGATGCCTCTAATCCCATCATTGACCCGCTTCCATCCTTCATCTGATACCGAGGGTCAGAGGTCAGGGACAGTCTAATCAGCCATCTTGGTCAGGCGTCAGTTAGGTCCACTTCTGATTCCTGATCTTTGGAAAATCCCTGAAAGAAAAATCTTCTTTCGTTGTTCCGTAAAACGTTTCTAACAACGCGGCGCCGCCGGCGTCTCCTGGAAACGCTGAGAGCAGAAAGTTTTTCTTTCTTCATCAAGCAGAGCGATAAGAACGGCGGCTCATGGACTGTAGGGAGACGCAGGAGGAACGGAGGGAATAATCCAGAACTGGAAGAGAAGTGAAGGCGGTTCATGCTGCTGAACTCGGCCAGGATGGGATTAAATCCCTCAGTCAACAGGATTTATTTTTACAATAAAGTAAAAATAAAACATCCAGCATGTTTTTTATGCGCTGCATTAAAAATAGATATAATGTATGTATTAAATTTCCATAAGGCAGGTTTCTGCAGGCAGCCGGGCTCTCCGCAGACGGACAGATGGAGATAACCATCGATGAGAAAAATAATGGAAACCAGATCAGTTTCATTCAAACCGAGCTGAGCTCAAATTGAAATAATAGCTGGTGGCGCTTTGAATGCAGCGACACAGACACATCCCTGCATGTTTATGCTAATCCAGCATTTCTGTCTGAGAATAAAAACACACAGATTTAAAAAAAAAAAGGACAGAATCACAGAGGATTTGAACAGTTGTTGTCTAAATGTGAACATTTATGTCTAAAAAGAAGAAAAATCCCTGATCCCACATTCATCTCCAGCTACATAAAAACAAAAAGCACAGCTTCAAAATAAACCAAACGCTGCTTTTTATCCACATTTTATATAAAATGACATGAAAATAAAAACATCAAAAGGATTTAATCTGATCCAGTTTCTAAAGTCAGATTAGTGAGAAGAGATGAGCTGCAGTGTCACCTGTGAACAGGTACCAGAAGTTGTTGGGTTCAATGGCCTCCTGGTCTCCACGGCGACCAGTCTTCCTGTATCTGATCTTGTACGCCGTGATGATGCCGTTCTGGGAGCTGCGCGGGGGCGGCTGCCATGACACCTTGATGCTCTGAGAGAAAACAGAGGATTCATGGTGGGTTTGATGATCTGCAGGTCGCTAACGGTGCCGCTGTCCGCCGCCATGAACACAAACCCGCCTTTGAAAGGTGGGAGGGGCTAAATAAACAGGAAGGACGCTTCTACAGCCAACAACCATGAATACCAACATCTAGATTAGACAGAGATTACTCTCCTAGTTCCACCCAGAACTAGAACCTAACATGGAGAAGCAGCATCTATGCTCCACAGATCTGGAACAAACTCCTGAGTTCTTTGAAGTCACTAGTTTAGAGTCTTTGACTGATGGAGTTAAACCGTAAACTGAGGATGATTAGTTTAAGGTCGTGGTCCAACCGTTTGATTGATTCTTTTATCATGTTTTTATCTTAATTTGCTTTTATTCTGCATTTATTTCTCTTCTGTTTTATGATCTAACCCCTTTAAAGCACCTGGAACTGTCCAAGTACTGAATTGTGCTGTAGAGATAAACTGGCCCTGCCTTGCCCTGCCTTTCCTTGCCCTGCCTTGCCTTTCCTTGCCCTGCCTTGCCTTTCCTTGCCCTGCCTTTCCTTTCCTTTCC